AGGGGAGGGGTCTTGGCCCCCCATTTCCCCCTGCCTTCCCTGTAAGGAAGGAGACAGAGGCATCCCTGGCACACGGAGCAAGGTCTGGGAGGATGGATGGATGGATGGACCGGGGCGATGCTCTCTCTGCCTCCCTTTGCAGCAGACCCCCAGCGCTCCGCCCCCGACGCGGGCTTTCTTCCCAGATTCCCACGAAGGGAGGGTCGGAGGTGTGGTGCCCAGGAGCCCCAAAAGACAAAGAAGTGGGTCCTCCATCCATCCAGCCTGAATGAGGAGACCTGGGGCTGTCCTACTCTGGGCACATCGTGAGGAGAAAGAAGGGAAGAAGACTCCTAGGAAAAGAAAAGGATGCTAGGAAAGGGGGATGGAAGTAGGAAGAGAGGCTAGGGTGGTTTCCCAAACTTTGGCCTTCCAAGGGTTTTGGACTTCAACTCCCAGGAAACCCACAACAGTCAGGAATTCTGGGAGCTGAAGTCCAGAGATCTCTCAAAGACCAGAGTTTGGGGGATCCCTTGGACTCCACAAGAAAGAGCATGGCCCTGTGCCCACAGGAGCTGAGCATGGAGGGAGAGGATAGGGACTCTGTTAGAGAGGTTTCATTCACAGGCTTGCCATGAGTCGAGGTCAACCCCAAGGCGGCTAACAACAGCCATGGTAAAACCGCTTAGACGAGGCTGCTTAAGTTCAGTATGAAGCGGTATAGAAATGGAAAGGCTCTTGCTCTTCTTGCTAACAACAACAAGCTGGAGAAGAGTGCTGTTGAGGGCAGGCACCTTGGCTCAAACATTGGATCCAAAGATGTCCTGCACCTTGGATCAAACATTGATCAAAATGGGGATTGCAGTCAAGAAGTAAGTAGACAAGGAATGGGAAAGGTAGCAATGAAAGAACTGGAAAAGACCCCTAAAGAGCAAAGATATACAACTGAGCACTAAAGTCAGAAGCGTCCAAGCCATTGTATTCCCCATCGCCACGTATGGATGTGGCCTTTGGACAGTGAGGAAAGTGGATGAGAAGGAAATCAAGTGCTGGAGAAGAGTGCTGAGGGCAGGTACCTTGGCTCAACCATTGGCTCAAAAGATTTCTCCTACCTTGGATCAACCACTGATCAGAAGGGAGATTGTAGCCAAGAAATAAGAAGACTAGGCATGGAAAGGGCAGCGATGAAAGACAAGATCCTAAAGAGCAAAGATATACAACTGAGCACTAAAGTCAGAAGCGTCCAAGTCATTATGTGTCCCCAGGAGGAAGGATGGTTAAGAAGACAAAGAAATGGCTCCTCCAACAACAGATCAAGCCTGAACTCTCTCTGGAAGACAAGCCAAGATGGTCAAATAGAGGCTGTCCTACTTTGGCCAGATCTTGAGAAGGCAAGACTCCTTGGAACAGACAGGCCAGATGGAAGGACTCAATTATGGAAGGCACCAACATGAATCTCCAAGACTTTAGCAGGGCAGTGGAGGATATAGGGGGGCTTGGCAATGTCCCATCCATGAATCGGGGCTGACTCGAAGGCAGCTAGCAACAACAACCAGATCAGGGAGGCTCGAGGGTCAGGCCCCTTTCCTTTGGGGGGCAGCCCATTTACCCCCAAATTCGCCCCCAATACGCACGTCTTTGGATGTCACCCTGTCATACCTGCATTCTCCCGCTGGACCCATTCCCCTTCCCTTTCTAAAACCAGGTGTCAAGTCATTTTAAAAGGAAGCACGGGTTATAAGGGGCTTCACGTCCACCTAAAGCGGATTCGGAGCGCATCATATCTAGAGCAAGCGTCCCCATATGGAGTCAGTCCCATTGAACTCTTTGGCTCACAGCAAGCGCTGCATCCACATCGCAGAACTAAACCCGGTTTGACACCGCTTTAACTGCTCTGGCTCAATTCTATGGGATTCTGGGAATGGTAGTCTGTTGCGGCACCAAAAGTGGATGGTCATGGCAACCCTAAGGCGAACCTATCATGGGGTTTTCTTGGCAGGCTTCTTCAGAGGGGTTTTGCTATTGCCATCCTTTGAGGCTGAGAGTGAGTGACTTGCTCAAGGTTGCTCAGAGGCCCAGCCGGGATTCGAACCTTGGTCTCCAGAGTCATAGTGCAGTGCTCAAACCACTACACCACAGCTGGCTCCTTCCTATAGAGTTTACTGGGATTCCAACTACCATTCCCAGAATCCCATAGCATTGAGCCAGGGCAGTTAAAGCAGTCTCAAACTGGATTATTTCTGCACTGTGTTTTGGGCCAAAGTCATGCTTCTTGGGCTGCATCCACACTGCGGAAATAATCCAGTTTGACACCGCGTTAACCATCATGGCTCAGTGATATGGAATCTTGATGTTTTTAGGTTTTTTTGGGGGGGGGGGTTGGTTTTTTTGGTGTGGCACCAGACCGCTTTTACAAAGAAGTCTAAAAGTCTCCCAAAACTACAACTCCCAGAATTCCACAGCATTGAGCCATGGCAGTTCAAGTGGTGTCAAACTGGATTTTCCTGCAGTGTGGATGCAGCTTTAGTCCTGTTCCAAATGGAGAACATTTTGGATTTCCTCTTGGACAGAAGGTGGAAACGTAGGGCATGTCCTGGAAAAGGAGGACGTCTGGTCACCCTCACCCAGGACCAATCTAATGTCATGCTTCTCAGTCCTGCTCAAAGTGGAGGACATGTTGGATTTCCTCCTGGACAGAAGGTGGAAACGTAGGACATGTCCTGGAAAAGGAGGACGACTGGTCACCCTCACCCCAGACACATCTAATGTCATGCTTCTCAGTCCTGCTCAAAATGGAGGACATTTTGGATTTCCTCTTGGACAGAAGGTGGAAACGTAGGACATGTCCTGGAAAAGGAGGACGACTGGTCACCCTTATCCCGGGCAAATCTAATGTCATGCTTCTCAGTCCTGCTCCAAATGGAGGGCATTTTGGAATTCCTCCTGGACAGAAGGCTGGAATTCAGGCCATGTCCTGGAAAAGGAGGACGACTGGTCACTCTGCCCCCTCAAAAAAAAAAATCTCTCCCAGCTCCCTGTCTTTCAAAGCAGAGCCACTTCCCACTGCTTCTGCTTTTCCTTTTCTTCAGAGGTCCCAGCTTTTCAAGCCCCTTGAAGCCTGCCCTTCCTTGGAAATGGCCTTCCTCCGGGGAGGACAGAAGGGAGGGAAGGGGGTCGACCCCTAAACTAAACCTCTCTGCTCTGCCCTCCCTGGCCTGCCTTTGGGGCTTCCCGATTAGCATTTCCCTGAAAGACCCCCTGCTGCCAAAGGAGAGGTTGCCATCTGCATCTCAATGGGGCCAGGGCTTGGAAAAGGGCCTCAGAGCCCTCTCCCATTGCCTCCCCCGACCTTGCCTTCCAAATTGGGGGCCTAGCAAAAGAGACACCCCCACCCCCAGCCCCCTTCCTTCTAAGGGCAGCTGCGCTCCCAGGGTGAGGACCACGCGTCCTCCTTTTCCAGGACAGGCCCTCCACTGCAGTCTTCTGTCCAGGAGGAATCCCAAAATGCCTTCTTCCATATTTATGCAAGGCCACCCGACGTCCTCTTTTCCCAGGACACGTCCTCCATGTCAGCCTTCTGTCCAAGAGGAATCCCAAAATGCCTTCCATATTTATGTAAAGGGACCCCCGGCGTCCTCCTTTTCCAGGACACGTCCTATATTTCCACCTTCTCTCTCTCTCTCCCCCCAGGTAGAATTTCAACAATATTCTCCATTTTGAGCATGGCTAAGAAACATGGCTTTATATTTATCCACGGTGACCCGACGTCCTCCTTTTCCAGGACACGTCCTACATTTCCACCTTCTCTCTCCAGGCAGAATTTCAACAACGTCCTCCATTTTGAGCATGGCTAAGAAATATGGCTTTATATTTATTCAGGGTGACCAGACTTCCTCCTTTTCCAGGACATGCCCTCCATTGCAGCCTCCTGTCCAAGAGGAATTCCAATATGCCTTCCATATTTATGCAAGGCGACCCTTGCAAGCCGGGATTCGAACCCCGATCTCCAGAGTCGTAGCCCAGCGCTCAAACCACTACACTACACTACAGCTGGCTCCTTCATATAAGGTTTAGTGGGATCTAAACTCCTGGATGCAAACCAGGGTGGTGTAGTGGTTTGAGGGTTGGATTACGACTCTGGAGTTCTGTGTTCGAATCCCCGTTCAACCATTGAAACCCACTGGACGAGTCACACCCTCTCAGCCCCAGAAAACCCTATGATAGGTCCACTTTAGA